AGCACTCCCTGGGTTGCCCTGGTCTTGCCAAGTGTGGCCTCAGGCACAGTGGGGAGAGAGATGTCCCTGTGGCACGGGTGCCTCACAGTGACTGCGCACTGTGACATCACAGTGGGCTGCATCAAAGGGGAATCCTCCCACACACAATCACCCTCCTGGAAGGAATAGGGTAACAATGAGCCCTCACAGGATGGAAGGGAAGAGCAGCAGCATGCAAAAAGATGGAATGCCAGCCTGCTGGGTCCCGCTGGATCCAGCCTGTCTGCATCCAAAAGAACCCGCACCTTCCAAGCAGTCAGCTTGGTGGTATCTGCAAGATTGCTGAGGGTGCACTCAGTCCCTCCAGCTGTTACACCACTTGGATTGTTGGCTTTCATGCTGAGAAAGTTGGGTTGTCTGTGCAGAAGGCAATAAACCAAATCTACCAGATTCTGATTTCCTTCAGTGATCTCCATCAGCACTTTTGTGGTTAAGTGTTCCTGGAATGGAACTGCTCCATTTGTCAGCCATATGCTGCCACCTGCAGCAGGCAGTACCACGTATCAGGATTAATTTTCAGTGTTCAATTCACTTTGTCACTACAGATACCTTTTGAAGGGATTTGTGTGCATCTGCTGGCTTCCAGCCTCCCGTAAAAGCCTGGGTTTCCGACTCTGGATGCTCACATGTCTCATCCTAAGGTAGTACTTGTACGTAATATGGTCCCAGTTTACCTCTCAACCCTTTCATGGTAAAAGGAAGGAAAAGAGAAGATCATGTGGTAACCAGAGCAGTGAGGCTCACAGTGCTGAAGATGTTTATGGGACTGTTCTCTGCAGGGTTTGCAGAGTATCCACTCGGGCAAAAACCATTGCCAGGAGGACAGTGGCAACCCAGAGGTCCCTCTCAAGAAGCACGGCTGTCCAGGTCTCTGGCTGCACAGAATGTCTCAGCCTGGCAGTTGTATCAGAGGAGAGCAGAGAGAACACCTGGGTACGCTGTGACCAGGTGAATGATTTACTCAGCCCAGTGGCTGAGCTGAAAGAGGAGGTGGAAAGATTACGGAGTATCTGGGATTGTGAAAGAGAAATAGAT